ATACATTGTCACACGAAGTAAATTTTTATGTCGCTAACTCATAAACGGGAGTTTGTCTCATATGATTTCAGTGTAGCAAAAGTTTGGTAAATATGGTCTCATAACTATAAGTGTGACCGAAGTTGAACGTCTGTTTCCTCCTATATTTCTAAAATATTTTGATATTCCCTCATGTATTTCAAAAATATTTCGATGTTCTCTCTTATATTTCATTTTGGCGATCTTGATTCCCCAAAATTAAAGGATTTCTGCCACTCTTAAATTTCATTTTTATTTTCGAAATTATATTCTCCCTCTTCCTCCAAAATATAGACCTAATTTCTCCAAATTTGACACCATCATTCCCCCGATAGTGGCAATTCACAATCATATGAGAAATTCACAATCCTATGCATAAACCCATCGACTCCTCAATTAAACGTACGCCTTAATATGTTGTTCTCTTGTTGCATCCTCAGGCCCTCTCATATGAAGACGCCACCGTTAGCCATCTCCTCCCCATCGGCCTGAGATCATCACATCCCACAGCAACACCGGAGACCTTCGACCTGACAAAGGTTTGTTCCTCTTCTACATTCGTCTTTTTTTTCCTACTGTCTCTTTCATTTAAGGTTTGTTCCTGCTTCCCCCTTTCTATTGATTTTTTTTTCTGTTGTCGATCTTCCTTCTTCTCCCTTTGTTTTCTAGCATATGATAGAATTTAAACTCAAAAAATCTTGGCGCTTTGAATTTCATCCCGACGGCCAACTCTTCGTTAGTATTTTTATTCATCCCCGTTCTTTATGTGTTCGACTAAATGCTACTCATATGTCCAAGAATTTATTTTGGAATTTCTAATTCTTACTAAATTCTCATTGTGTTGTAATCCCTACAATTAATTTCAGAAATAAATTCTCTCATAATTAACTATCACCAAAGAAATAGCACGGGTTTTGACTTTTGAAGGATTGTTCTTGAATTCGATAACTGAATTAGTTGGGTGTTTCTTCTTTAGGTGAACGTGTTGAATGATTCAAGACCAGTTATCCACAAAATCTTCGAGTCTCTTGTCAATCGTTTTCTCCCTTCGGGTTATCCATACATGCGAGTTCATAAGACATAATTTCATATCTATCGACTTCTCTCCCTCAATAAACTTTAATCAAAGTGTCATTTCTCATGAAACTAAAACCTAATGTAGTGTCAATGAAGGGTATCTTAGATACACACAACTTCAAGCATTACAACACTTCCCTAGTTCAACATTATCCGTCTTATCAACTCAGGTCTTCTTTTGATACTTAGAAATTAGAATCATCACAAGTTCAAATTAGGGTTTGTTGATTGATCTTTCTCCTTTGCAGTCACTATTAGTTGTTGTAGGATTAAGACCTACATACACAAGCAACCACAAACAATTGGGTAAGAAACAACTTTTAACAAATTCCAATATGAAGTGTGTTAGAAGTGATTACGAACACAAAAGATTAAGACATTCAAAGAAGTAAATGCATATAAGATGTCAATAATGTTTGTTTGGCTCGATTAATTTGAATGAGTACACGACAGAAAAGAGTACAAGTGAATTCTGCAAGTGTTTGAATCTTACTCTACTCAATACACCTACCCTATTTATAAGATACATCAGAGTCACAAAAATTTACAAGTGCTAAACATTAACGTATCGAAATAAAAATGCCTTGTAAAATAGACAGAGTTCAAATTCATGCTGATTTTCGTACAGACTCTGACCAATTCGACTCCTCACTATATACATTCGACCCCTACAATCTCCCCCTTAATGAGAGTAGTCGTTATTATGCAATCAGCTTTAAGGTCTATAGAAGTTCTCTTTGAATCTCTATATACCACAAAATGGTTTTTCGAATCTCAGGATTGTCTTCACTTTCATTCTTCTTGCAATTGTTGATTCGAATAAGGAGATTTGTACTGAGAGTTTGTGTACCTCTCAAGATCACAAACTTGAAACAAGAACTTTGTCATTTGTCGTTTCTTGTTCTTTCCACGAAACACAACACCCATTGGTTGATGTATGATTTTTCCATCTTGAATCTCATTAATATTTAGCTTTCCCTTCAACAAATACTGAGGAGCTTTCGATGGCTTCTTAACAACTATGGCAAGTTCAATATATGCGATCGCCAAGTAGTCATAGTAGTTGTAAATAAAGACTTTGATGTGAGCAAACTCAATAATAAAATCATTTTTATTGGCCTCTTATATCTTCGACACATCAACATTTCCTAAAATCTCTGTGACCGTGACCAAATCATTCAAGTTCATTAATGGAAAACCTGCTATTGTGAACTAAGAATTAATGTTAGTTGCTCTTACAACAACATAACAAAAGTTTTGCAACATAACTTCGAATAAGTTGTCAGGAACAATGGACATCACTTTGATTATCTTCACAGAAGACCACACCTCTTTATTCTTCCCCAAAAATGTTTGAAATCGAATCTTCAATCGTTTGAATTCATCCTTATCATTGAAGTTCTCTACAATCTTCAACTACGAAGAAGTGAACAACATATGATTGATCGAAAATTCAAGCTGATTAAAATCAATATTTTCTATGTCGTAGCTCTTTTGAGGCACTTTTCAAAAATCATCATTCATTCCAATAGAAAAAATATCTTCCATTGTCTCATAACACCACTGCTTGTTGGGGTCACCCTTGTTCAAGTCAGATTGGTCATTTGCTCTTCGCCTTAGAATGCTGTTTATCTGCATTTGTTTTTTTGATTTCGATGGCATGTTTATTTTTATTCTCTTCTTCTATTTGTACAACCATGTTTGATTTCCCTTTATCACTTGGATCAACATTCGAAGTGGATTTGTTTGGGATAGAAATTGAACCTCCTGCTCCTTCATTTATTGAGATTCCTTTTGTTAAAGCTCTCGTTGCTGTTGTTGTTGTAGAAGTTGAAGTTATGGGCTTCATCCAAATAGTTGTTGGGATTTGAGTACTTATCACCTTTCTCACAACAACTCCAGAGTTATCATTTCTCTCCTTCGACGAACCAACAGCTCCTCCCCCCATGCAAAACATGCATTGCATAAGGAACATTTACTGGAAGTCGAAGAACTAATGATTTTGATTTCGAATAAGAAATCTTCCACTCTGGTAAATACATGAGCATCCCCTTTCACCTTGTCTTGAAGACCAAAAGAGTAATCTTTATTGAATGAAGAGATGTCTTCAATCAAGCAAGTTGATGCTTCAGCTACCACATCAATCTTCTTATGTAGTGTGGAAGAACTTTCAACAAAAATTTTCACCTCAGATTCCAATAACTTTCGAATATCAGAAATTTGAGTCTGCAAACATACTTTGGTTTCCTCCAGTTTTTTTGAAAAATGCTCATGACGTTCTTTCGAAACATCATGAAGCAGAGAAACTTCACCAGTCAGAGTTTTAGATTGATTGCGAATCCTTTCATCATGTCGCTTGTCTACACTATCGATAAGAGTTTGCAATCGAGACTCTTGGGATTTAAGAAGAGAATCAACTTCAATTCCACTTACATAACTCTTGCTTCCTGTATCAGCTAAGAACTGTAAAATCGAATTCATCTTGGAGTTTAAAATCTAGAACTGCCTTCCTGACATGATCATTTCATTAGGAATATTATCCTCCTTCGGATCAAACTAAAGTTCAACAAAAGACACCATAGCATCATCATCATCATATTCAGGTTCTGGTTGTGATTTTCCAGTAGATTGAGATCAAAAGAGAGTGGTAATAGTTTCTTGCATGACACCATAATAAGTTGGTGATATGGTCGAAACAGGAACAAAAGTTGGAATGGGTGATGAAGGTGGTGATAAAGCTGTTGAAGTTTCGATGGTAGATGTGTCATTGGTAGAAATGACAATGGTATAAATGATAATGGATTCATTGTTGTGCATCCCTTCATCCATGTTGACATTTTTGTCCTTATTAGATAAGTCCACAATGATGTATGGAGTTTCGACCTCCTCCATATTCGACTCGATATTCGAAACCTGGATGGTTTGACAATAGTCTTCTCAGGGATAATGGTGTTTTGGGGATCACTCAAATTGATGTTTGTATCTGTATTAGATACGTTTACATTGACATTAGAATTATGTATCTCCTCGAAATTCGAATCGATATGAGACTCCCTTCGAAGTGAACCATGATCAGAATCCTGAATTCGAACATCTGACCTTTCACTGTCACTGCCATGCTCTATTTCAACAGTTACATTTTCAAGTGGTAGTTGAACTTCGCGTTTCTTCTTATTTAAGTTCTGATCCATATCAATAGCTCTTCTCTTCTTAGATGCTGGTGATCAAGGAACTGGTATTTCACGAAATAAAACATCCCTTATGTTAAATTGAGCTTTACGAGCCTTCTTTGAACCACCCTTAAACGTTGCAGGATTTGAAGCTTAGTTGGGTCCTATACTTTTGACTATAAGTTCTTGTGTAGCTGTCTTGACTGGAGATTCAGTAGGTTGTTTTGCAGGTTTCTTAGTTCGCTTAAGAACACCCGATTTCGATGGGATTGTTTCTTTCACAACCTCCTCCTCCACAGTTGGTGGTTTTTCAATTTGCTTCTTCTACTTTGGAGCCTTTGAAGCTTTAGATGTTCCCTCTACCCCCTTTGGTGGAAGAACCCCAGTTGGATTAGAAGAATAAACTGAAGCTAAATATTGTACCAGTAGTTGATTTTTAGGATCCACAAGCTTGAGTATAGCATATGGAATGCGAGCAACATTGGGAAAATAGCAGGATCATTAACAAAGATCTGTGGTGCAGCCATAAACGGAAACTTAATAGTTTCGGCACCAAATGGAACCAGAATATCCTCTTGACGATAATTTTCCTCTAAAATCAAGCTCCAAAATCGACCACTCGAAACACCATTTGTTAGGTTCGTGTGTGAGATTGAGGTCCCAAACTTTTCGCAAAGATGTGTAGCATAATCAACATTCAGACCGTAATACAATACTGCAATGACTGAATAGACTTCAAGCTTGGATTTGTGGAGCCCAAAGCTTCTTCCTGTTAAGCATCGTAGCACAATACCAAAAAAAACTCCACATATAGGGAAGACTAGAAATTTTAAAATGACTTATTCCAGTAAGAGTTGGTTGATGCCCCATTTCATTAAACATATGAAGCACCTGATCATTCGAGACTTCATAGTTTGTACCTGAAACTGGTAACTTCAGAATTTGGGCAAATTGCTTCTGAGTGAGTTTCTTGGTTTTTGAATTCGATAGCTGAAACGATACCATGTTAGTAGTTTTTTTGAATAAAACAGTTGAACCAGCAAGTGCAAGCCATTCTATCCGAATTGAAAACGACCATGAACGTGTAGTTGATAACACTGAGTTGTTGAAGGTTTGAACAAGCATCCGTAATGCATTCGGGTATTGATCAAGATATGGAACAAGATGAATATTAGTAGTTTGAATCTTCATAAGTGGTTGCGAAACATCTTCTTCATTAGTGGTTGTTGAATCAGTAGTGTGATGAGGAGCAACCATTGTAAAGAATTTTAGAGTAATTTGGAAATAATGAACAATTAGGGTTCTTGGAGGTTTGATCAGAGAGCATAATGTTTTGATAAAGAAGTTATCAACTTCCTTTTAGAATCGAAGGTATTTTTAAATTTGAACCGGTATCCAATAATAAAATGCCACGTATTGTGTTGGTTACTTAACCGACACCGTAAAAAGCTCCACGTCATAAAAGTGATCATCACATTCTCCTTAATTCCTGTGAAAATCCTGAACCGTCATTTCCATTAGATCTTTCTCTGTTCCCAACTGGATAAGAACTGTCACAATTTTCAAACGTCAACCAAGCACACCATGTAATTCGACACCAAGGTAAGATCAATAATTTGGTATGGAGGCTAGGCTCCTTCTCTTTTGGGATTTGGAAGCAAAATGATATGCTAAACTTTTCAAAATCTAAGTTTCGAGTTGGTAAGACCCAAAACCTCAAGGATTTCAGTGTATTCGTGTGCCAAATAATAAGATAAAAGCAAGTAAAACAAAAATGTGGATATGGTGATATCAAATTTCATTTGATACGAAACTAGAATGATGCCAGGTAAAGATCTATTTATTCAACATCAATAGAGATGAAGAATTGCTTGTGGTATCCCATAATTGACAATTGAATACTCGTTAATGAGCATCGAAGGGCTTTTTCTTCTTTGGCTTTGAAGGCGACTTAAATTTTGCACAAAGTTACAAATTAACATATGTGTGATCCAATTTGAGCAAAATTACTTGGATGACCCGTGTAGTCAAGAACAAGTATGGCTTTTGATGAGTTTGAGTGAAAAAAATTTAGAAAAGATATTCAGACGGAAATCTCATTCTAAAAAAAATTAAAGTACCGGATCTTTATGGGAAAAAAATGTCTTGGGATTAGAACATTTTATCAAGATCAAACAATTTGAATAGAATGAGATTTTCAATATCGAATGGTACAAAGAAACAATTTTTTCGTGAAAATCTTGAACAATGTAGTTCTCCGTCAATTCGTTGATAGTTAGGTTCATTGGCTTTCACTATCGTCATGGAAAAATGACTCAGGATCATAAACACAGAGTTTTGACATATCTACATTCTTGTAGGTTTCGACCAGAGATGTCGCAGATATGTAGTGTTGTGTGTGATCGTGAAAGAAATTTTGATGAAAAATATTTGGTGAAAGAACTCATTGTACCTCTGCTAAAGTTTTGACCAAATAGAAAACTCTTTACTCATTATGAGAAGAGTAAGGTAGCTCTTCGACTAATGTGAATATAGCCTGGTTGGGAAGAAAATTTCATGTGAAAGATTTCATTAAGGCTTTGAACACATAGAGTCTTTGAGGCTTAGAGTACATAATTTCGATTATTACATGTTCCCTTGATTAATATGTTCATTTGGCATGTGAATGTAACACCAGTCAAAATTGGTCAACAACAGTCACATATGATCATGTCAAACCAGTAATGTAATAAACCTACTTTGTAGTTCATGGAAAATTATAATACAAATATGAACTTCCGTACATACTTTATGGTATAAGTCAAAAGTGCACGTCCACACAATTCCAAAAGATTTTAACGAACCTCAATCTAACTCCGCATGAAGAAGTTATGATAAACTTTAACACTATAAATCTCTATAATAAGAAGAAATTCAAATAAAGTGGGGATTAGCTATTGGAATCTAAAAGAAAGTTGTAGTACTCGGAAATACCTATGTGTGGATATAAAGAACGTCAAAAACGGAGATCATATGCAAAATATATGATCTTCCGAAGATCTAGCAGTCTGAGAGCATGACACGTGGCATAAACCCTAATCTGTCATAAATCACGAAATGAGCATGTATTCTCACGACGTGAGATTGCTCCAGGACACTTCTCAAGACTAGAAAACAAATGGCAAGTCTACAGAGTGATAAGTTTAAGGCTCACGACGTGAGCATGTTATTCTCACGACGTGAGATGTCAACCAGACACCTTACGAAGCTAGAAACGCAAATGACAAGTCTACGAGGTGATGCAGCCATAGCTCACGACGTGAGCTTATCATTCTGACGACGTAAGAGGGCCTTGGATAGCCTATAAATAGCAAGTATGGCCCTAATTCTCCTTACACCAAATTTCCTTTCTCTCTCTCGTTTACTGAAGGCGTTCCTCGTCCCGAGCCCGACGATCACGAACCGCTAACCATTTCTGGTTAGATTTTATCAAATCACGCTACTAGGGTGAGTTTCATGGCCCCACTTTTTTAATGTTTTTGGGGGAAAATGCATGCTAAATATTATATATAAGTTAATATTATGTTTATATGATCGTATGTTCGGATCAACATAAATTCTATTAACCGGGATATAGTAGTTTTAAATCATATATACTCATGATATAATGGATATTTTGAAACTATAAAACTACTGGTATGTTATTATAATAAGTTTTACGTTGGTTAAAACTTGATATTGATCTATATATTTGATAATTTGAAGTCATCTTTGACTTGTTAAGTGTGTTGCTATTATTGGTTTTATGTAAGATAAAACCTAGTTTTTTTTACTTCAAGTTATGGTTGTTGTACTGCCTAAGTATTATGAAAATTTGGAGTAATGTTTAAAGCATAGTCTAGTAACTTAGGGTTTTAGACACGAATATGCTTTCACTGTTAGAACTATAGCATCTCGACAAAGTCTACATGAGCTATTTTATTCATTAACTAAGATTGGAAATCTTAAGGGAAATCCTCTGACCTGTAACCGCTAATCCCGTGTGAGCGAGTAAGTTTTGTATAGATCTATATGGGTTGACACCCCCACTTGTTGTCGCTAGCTACAACCCACGGCTTATGAAATCCACCGAGTGACGAAATGCCCTTTTATTTTGTTTTATTGTGGGCCCGGCGTCGATGAAGCGCGCAGAGTATTTCTATTGGTAGAATCCTTTGTGGCACCAATGGAAAAATTCTTTATAGCACCAATGGTGGAATCCTTCGTAGCACCAATGGTGGGATCCTTTGTAGTACCAATTAGAGGTCTTGCATGTCATATAGCAGCGGTTATGGACTCATGTTAGCAAAATTTTACTATATAAACATTATACTTTGTCGATATACAAGTATTAATGTTAAGTGTAAGTTTCCCAAACATTTATACTCTAAGTACTAGAAACTTGTAGGTATTCTACTTATTCATTAGGTAAATAATTATACCTAGCACACATACTCGTATGGAATTGAAATAAGATTTATATGTAGTAATCTTCGTAGATCTTGGATTACAAAAACCTATAGTATATGGAAGTTGTAGGTATACCACTTATTCAGTAAGTAAACCAGTATACCTAGAATTTATATAATATGTCAGAAATAAGTATGAACCAGAATGATACTTTCAAACTATGTTTTATACTTTTCGAACTTGGAAAAAGTACTATTTTTACTCAGAGTCAAAACTTGTGGACTCGCCAACTTTATGTTGTCGTATTTTAAAAACGCATGTATTTTTAGGAACTTAATAAGCTGGAATGTTACTTGATCAGGGGAAAATTTGTTGACCAATACGACTATCTTTTTGTTGGTATGGAACGTCTGTCTGCTAAGACGTGTGTGGTATTTCGGATAATATGCAGTAATGATTAGGAATACAGGAATAATGTAACTTTCTATTATCAATAAAGGTATGTAAATTATAGAATGCTTTTGTACTTTTCTATGTATGTTTGATAATTGTGATACAAAAAATGAAGTTACACAACCCGATGTTTCCGCCGCCGGCCGGGGGTGTGACAGATTGGTATCCGAGCTATTGATTATAGTGAACTAGTAATTTCTTCGGAAAAAAGACTCTAGTCTAGGGGTTACTCTATTAGCTTTACATATATCCCTTAACCTACAATATAAAGTATTATTAATTATTCTACTAAATGACTACTTATGGGAGCGGTGACAGGATAGACACGTCGCTTTGGGTTGTTGGATTTCAGAACGACTATATGCTAAAATGATCCTGCCCTCCGACTGTCCTGACTGGCCGGTGCCTTATCAACTAGACTTTAAGTAACAAACAATAATTAGTAAAGCATGAATACAACAAATAAGAAATATAGAGTCATATATGAAGACTCAAACCCGCGATGAGAATACACCTAAAAACCCGGAATGCTTTTTATCTCAAGGATTTAGATCAAATATTCCAACTAAAGTTTATATGTACATAGATCCTATCACAACTAGGTGTAGGTGCGCAACTACATTTTATTATAATCAAATCATATGTACTATTTAATTTGGATGTAATATTTGATAGACTAAACACTTGGTGATCCAAAATGTATGATTATTATATTTGATATAGGAATTCGACATGGCTCATTCTCGAGAATGGATAATCCTAGAAGATACAGATGAAGAACAAGAGATTCCATCCCCTCTTTTGGCAGGTGATCCTTACTGTCACAACTAGCATTTTAGGGCCAGGATTTCCTATACATGTACAAGATAGTTCTTTGTGTAACTATGTAACGATGTGTTTAAATGCAAACCAAACTTCAAATGTTATATCAGTTTATACATACAGAAATGGTCTCCAGTCGAAACTTCGTTGTGAAAACTCTAAACCTAATCCAATAAGCTATATACATTCAACTTTGGGCCCTAGTTGGGCCTAAATCGATTATTCAACTCTGATTTGGGCCATAAGACACTTAGTGGGCGTTATTGGGCCGTGAACATCTTCTTAGATCCTTATAGGCCACAAATCACTATTTGAGCTCTTATTGGGCTAATTTCTCAAATGGGCCAACCATTAGGCCGAGAACCTCCTAATGGGCCTTATTGGGCCGAAAATTCATCCATTTAGCCTTCCTGGACGGAAAACCCGTGTTGGACCTTCTTGGGCCGGAAACCCTTATTGGGCCAATGAGTTCTTGGTTATCTCTCTTCCCAAGCCCAAACAATTTTTCCTTCTTCCCTCTCCTATTGGGCCGATCGGCCATTATATAAAAAAAA